CTTAAATGGTCATGTCAATAAACAGAATTGCCGTTACTGGGCCGCAGTAAACCCACGTTCCAAACATCAAAAACCTCTGTATTCGACAAAAGTTATGGTTGGGGCAGCTATTTCTGCACGTGGGATCATAGGTCCGTATTTCTTTAAAAATCAGGGGGGGGGGGCAATCTGCGACGGTAAATTCGGACCGATACACGGCCATGTACGAGATTTTTTCTTTCCACAATTGCAAGAATTCGAAGGATATAATCGTACGACATGGTTTCATCAAGATGGCGCGACATGTCATACATCTCATGCCTCGATAGCAGTCATAGGTTTAGAAGCCCGAATTTGACACCACCAGACTTTTTTTTGTGGGAATACATGAAGAGTACAAGTTACCATAATAATCCAATCACGATTGCCCAGTTGAAGACCAATATCGAATAAGAAATGGCGGCTATTTCAAGAGTAATGTGCCAGCGAGTTTTCGATAATCTAAAGGTCAGATTTGAGCGGAATGGTGCACATCTTGAGGATGTCATTTAAAAAAAAATAACTTCCCCGTGTACCTATTTATATTACAATAAAGATTTGTTTGCATAATATTTGTCCTTTTGTTAATGACTTTTTCAAAACCACGCAACTTTCTGGCCCACCCGGTAAGTAAGGATTACGCAATGCGAGATGACTATAGAAGAGACAGAATCTCGAAATCTAGATTTAATTAGTGGTAACAGGTGAATAAGCCTTTTTCTAAGTTCGAAGTAAATAAGTTAGATATATACAGAGCGTAGTTTGTTGCTATTATTATTCTCCAAAAAGTCACATAATTATTTCGAACCACTCGTTTAAGGCCGGCAACATACATACGGAGTTCCGTTTCGGGATTCCACACGCAGCAAGTCCACATAAAATCAAGAATTCGTCAAAAATACAGTAGTGTTCCGTTCGAAATTTTGCGAGAAAAGCGGGATTCCGAATGTATGTGGCCGACTCGTTTGGAATTCCGAATGTACGTGGCGGGCTTAAGTGCGAATTTACTAGGTACTGACGTGATAAGCGGTGTGTTTACGTAATTTGATATTGACAATTTAATTTTCTTCAGTCTTCGAACCACGAAGTACATTGTATATACTTCGAGCATACATTTCACCAGGGTGATGTAACTCTGTAGGAAATCCGAGAAACTTGCACACAATCATAATTTTATCTATGTTGGATTGGGCGTATAAAATTAAAACAAAAAAAAAAAGATATCGTTGTTTATTTCTTTCGCGTTGTTTCAGATTGCCTTTTTAAAAATTAGATACAAAAATACATATTATATCGGAAGATACTGAAAATGTTAATTCTGTGTTAATTTTTTTTTTGTTATTCATTAGAGTATATTTACAAACATATTATTTTGAGATTTGCACAATTAATTCGCACATTAATTGATTACAATTGAATATAAGCAGAATTCTATCAAAAGAAGCCATAAAGGAAATAATGACATTTGTTTGTCAACGTTTTTCATATAGAAAATATTTTCTGAAATTGATTCAAAATTTAATAGGTGTAGATTTTAATATTTGTTCTTGCGTTTTGCTTTAATTCAGATATTATCGGTACAGAATACATTGAGCTATTATGTACTACGTACTAGAGGCGACACTGCATTTAGTTGTCCCATTCAACTGCGGTGATATTGCCGCACTTTACTCAGTCGCTCGCTAAGCGCTCGTGAGTTGACACATGCTGTGTTGATTATATAAAAAAATTCTTGATAAAATATGCCATGGTGTGTTTTAGATATTGCACAAATAATCCAAAAAATGTTAGCAAATACCGAGGAATAACTTTTCATCGTTGAGTAAAAAAGTATTATAGATTAATAATCAAACAGCGATCCTGCCTTCTCGCCGAAAATTTTTTGGCCGATTATCATTTGCCAACCAACGGTTCGCCTATTTTTCACTTTGACAACTAACGATTGTCAAATTTTTGTATGACAATGTTTAATTTGTTAGAATTATTGTTAAGCTGATTATTATAATGACACAACACGTTCAGGGCACTTATTATTTATCAAATCCTTCACTAGACCAGACAACTTTTAGACGAATAACGTTTTGTCTGTGTTACAGTTCCCTTTTCGTAAATGTTAAAAATAAACTATTTTTTTTTTCATATTTTTTGGCGAAACCCTGGGCTTGAACTTGCCTGATATAAAGAAAAATTTCGTAATAAGTATAGCAACAGAAATCTGTGGTATATTGTTATAGGATATAGATATAGGGTAGACTCGAAAAACTATTGTAAGACGATTTCGGGCGATGGCAGTCTCGCAATAAACGTGGAACAATTAAGAGTGTCTTATTTCGCAGTGGCGACGAGGAATTTTATCATAATAAAATATGGCAAACATGGGTAGAATCGGAGAATTCGATGTTTCAAATGGTAATTGGAGTTCATATTGTGAAAGTTTGGTAATGTATTTTTTGGTTAACGGCGTCAAGGAAGAATTAAAGTTACCTACGTTAATATCTGTGGTTGGCGAAAGTGGATATGAACTGATGACTAACCTGTGCAGCCCAATTAAACCCGCTAAAATGAAATACGACGATGTTGTAAGAATAATGAGCGATTATTTGCAACCAAAAGCGTCAATTCTAGCATAGCGCTATAAGTTTCGCCAACGTAGGCAGAGTGAAAACGAAACAGTATCTCAGTTTGTAACGGATTTAAAACGTTTGGCAAAATCGTGCGAATTCAAAAACACTTTGGAAGAAAATATGAGAGATCAATTTGTGTGCGGTCTACGCAGTGATATGATGCGTCAGCGACTTTTTGCTGAGGATTCTTTAACTTGGACGGGCGCAGTGAAATTAGCTACGTCAATGGAAGCAGCCCAGCGTGACTCATCAGTGGTAGATTGCACGGGCTGCGGCGCGAGCACCTCTGGTATCGCCATTGCGAACGAAAATTTAACGAGGGTAGTAAAACAGGAGCGACAAAGGATGAGCACGGCAGACTATCAAGTGACCGAAGTGAATAGGGTGCAAATGAGTCCCTGTACAACGTGTGGCAGTTCCCGCCATATTTGGCGTCAATGTCCGTATCGTAACTACAAATGTGATATTTGTGGCAAAATTGGACATTTAAAACGGGTGTGCTCGCTCGGTGAGAGACATCAAAATAAAAGTACCAACAGGCGCGTATGGACCTCGAGTACGGGATCAACTGGCATTCGCGGTTCAGCGCACGGCAGAGGCACTGGCTCCGGCGTGCGGCACTGGCAAGGCTCCGTGCGTCATGAGCGCGCCCACCACGTAGCTGAGGGGGAGGAGGACCCCTCCGCACCGGCATCGGCAAGCGAGGGCGAAGAAAACGAGCATCCAATGTTCCAAATGTCTTTGAGGGACTACAAGCCGGTTAGCATTCCTATTAGTGTTGATAATAATGTATTATTAATGGAGATTGGCACAGGCTCAGCATTATCTTGTATAAGTTATAATTTGTATATAGAAAAATTTAAACATTTGGCATTGTTACCGTGTAAATTAACACTTTCATTTTATGACGGCAGTAAAGCTCAGCCAGCCGGTTATATAGAGGCCCTAGTACAATACAACGGTAAATGTAAAATACTTGATTTGTATGTAATAGAAAATGGGACAACCATATTGTTGGGAAGGCAATGGTTAGCTGAATTGGGGATTGATATCCCAAAATTTCATGTAAATAGAATAAATTGTACACAAAACTGTGATAAAATAGAAAGTTTAAACATGTTATTCGACAGATTTAAACACTTATTCGATGGCGGTCTGGGGCGGTTTAGCGGTGGGCAAGCAACGCTGCGCGTCCGGGCCGGCGCCGCGCCGGTGTTCTGTCGCGCGCAGCCGGTGCCGTACGCGATGCGCGAGCGGGTCGATGCCGAGCTGGACGCCATGCTGCAGGCCGGAGTCATCGAGCCGGTTGACGCCTCCGATTGGGCCTCACCTTTGGTATTAATAAATAAACCGGACGGGTCGCTTCGTATTTGCGCAGACTATAAGGTAACATTAAACCGTGTCTTACTGGTGGATAAATTTCCGGTTCCCAAAATTGAAGACTTACTATCGAATCTTAGCGGTTGTAATTGGTTCAGTAAGTTAGACTTGTCCCAGGCCTACAACCAAATAGAATTAGATGGGTCAAAAAAGTACACTGTAATAAATACACATAGGGGGCTTAATATGTACAATCGTCTAGTTTACGGTTTGGCTTCCAGTCCCGGTATTTTTCAAAGAATCATGATAAATCTTTTGAAGGATATATCTAACACAGTGGTGTTCTTAAACGATATTTTGATTTATAGTGTATCTGAAAAAGATCACCTAGATACATTGCATAAGGTACTGTTAAGGTTAAGCCAAAACGGGTTTAAAATTAAGAAACAAAAATGCGTATTTTTTGCGAACGAAGTAAAATATCTCGGTTACATTGTAAACAAAGACGGTATAAAAGTTGATAACGAAAAGATAAAAGCCATTTTAAATTTACGTGAACCTAACGACGCATCCGAATTGCGGTCATTTTTAGGAATGGTTAATTTTTATTGTAGATTTATAAAGAATTTAAGTTTTTACCTGAATCCATTTTACACACTTTTAAAAAAAGGTAGGCATTGATTTTGGGGGAAAGAGCAAACGCAAGCGTTTCAGAATGTGAAATTATTATTAAGTAAAGCTGAGGTGTTAGATCATTATGACACGCGGCTGCCAGTGGTGGTGACGTGCGACGCCAGCTCGCGCGGGGTGGGAGCAGTGCTGGCGCAGCAGCGGGCCGGCCGCGAGTGCCCAGTCGCGTACGCTTCGCGAGCTCTCACGCCCGCAGAAATAAATTACAGCCAAATAGAAAAAGAGGCTTTGGCGATTGTTTTCGCATTAAAAAAATTCCATCAATATTTATATGGGCGAGAATTTGTACTTAGAACGGATCACAAGCCCTTAGTGAGTATTTTCGATCCCGGGCATAGTATTCCTAATATGACGGCTAGTAGACTACAGCGCTGGGCATTAATTGTATCTTCGTATAATTTTAAGATTGAATTTATAAGTACCGAGCGTAATACGGCCGACGCGTTATCTCGTATGATAAAAACTTATAAAGAAACAGGTTCTTGCGAACAAAGCGACGAACCGGAGCAAACGTATTTGCATTTCGCGACGGAAGCGTTACTCTTAGACTATAACATACTAAAAAAAGAAACTGTACATGATCCTATTTTAAGCAGAGTTATTAGTTATATAAGAGACGGCTGGCCAGGAGAATTAAATATTAAAGAATTAAAACCTTATTATAACAGAAAAAACGAACTATATACGGAACTTGATTGCGTAATGTGGGGCCATCGTGTTGTGATCCCGAGCGTCTGTAGGTCTAAAGTTTTAAAAGAGTTGCACGACTCGCACATGGGCATGGTTAAAACAAAAGGGTTAGCGCGCAGTTACGTATGGTGGCCGGGAATAGATGAAGATATAGAGAAGTTATGTCGGTCGTGTCAGGTGTGCTTAGAGGTGGCGGACGCGCCTCCTGCCCATGCGATTCGCTCGTGGCCTTGGCCAGATCGTCCTTGGTCCCGTTTACACATAGATTTTTTCGGCCCAATCGCAGGGAACACATACTTAGTCCTAATTGACGCGTGTACTAAATGGATGGAGGTAATAAAAATGTCTTCTACCAACGCTAAAGCGGTGATAAAAGCGCTAAGAGAAATATGGTCTCGGTTCGGTTTACCTAAACAATTAGTTTCGGATAACGGTCCACCTTTCACAAGTTTAGAATTTAAACAGTTTTTGGAGAACAATGGAATACAACACACGTTTTCTGCTCCATATCATCCTTCGTCCAACGGAGCGGCCGAAAATGCAGTTAAAACCTGTAAAAAAGTTGTAAAGAAAGCCCTTTCTCAGAATTTAGACGTAGACACGGCTCTCCTTAGATTTCTATTAGTTTACAGAAATACTGAACATTGCACTACAGGAGAAAGTCCGGCAAAATTATTACAAGGCCGTTCGTTGCGGATGCGACTCGATTGTTTAAAACCGGAGCGCGCAGATCGCGTTAATGCGGCGCAAAGACACCAGCAGTTGGCAGCAGGCGGGTCACAGCGGTGTTTTAACGAAGGGGATGAGATTTTATACCGTAACTACGGCACGGGGAAGTAATGGTTGGACGGAAAAGTTCAGTTGCGGCTAGGTAGCACTGACTATGAAATTTTGGGCATCGATGGAAGTTCACATCACCGACACGCAGACCAGCTAAGACACAGGTTTAATTTTCCTTTGCAAGACCCGATCACGATTAAAGAGTCATCCAGGCGTAATTTAATAAATCCGTTTCTAATCAACGCAACTAGTAATACTAATAACCCAGGGGAAGGTCCGGCGGCGTTGGCCGGCACGATGGCGGGTGCGGCGGGAGCACAGCGTAGCATGGCATCGCCTGATATTAATAAGGCTATACAACCACAATGTTTTGAGCCCGAATTAAACCGCCGTTACCCTGTAAGAAACAGACATCCGCCAGCACGGTTTCCTTCATTAACATAGTGATTTATTTTATATATATAATTTGGTTATCTCGTGTTACGGGAATTTCTATGTCATAGAATAAATGTTTAAGATTAAAATAGTTTTATATAAAATTTAGTTAAGTTATTATTTAAGACATTTATATTGTATTAAGGGGGGTGGTGTGGTATATTGTTATAGGATATAGATATAGGGTAGACTCGAAAAACTATTGTAAGACGATTTCGGGCGGTGGCAGTCTCGCAATAAACGTGGAACAATTAAGAGTATCTTATTTCGCAAAATCTACATACACATTTGCAAAATTTCAAAGTGCGGAACGACGTTTAGGTGATATCGAAAGGAATTGGTTAGGTTAGAACATCGACCCCACCCGAATGGGTTCCTGCCTTGTCGTGGCGGGGGAGCTTAGTAGCCGTGGCTTGGTCACCCGCGGTGAACAAAGAGGAACCCTTTGACTGGCCCGTGGTGTAGTGCCGGCCCGAGGTGGCCACTCCGAGTGGGCTTTGCGAGCCCACTTCAGATGTGTGTCGGTGGGCTGCTACGAGAGGAATGTCCTCTCCCCCTACCGCTGCTTTAAATTTGCTGATTATTTTTTTTTTTGTTTTATTTTTAATAAGTAGTTTAGTAATTTTGATATAACATTATGTAATATTATATTAAATTAGCAAATAACAAAAAATAAATGACTAATTTTAAAATTTGTACTCGATATAATTTACATAATTAACAATTCAATCAATTTTTTCATACTGATCATTCTGCCTCATTGAGTTATATGTACTACGTACTAGAGGAGTCACCTCAACTCGATTGTTTGTAACACGCGTTAGAGTGCATGCTCTCAAACTTACTTAGACTGTGTCAAGCGGTTGCTGCAACGTGAGAAGTTTGAGTAAAGAATTATTTTTAAATTAATATGCCTTCGTGTGCATTGAGATACTGTTCAAACATCTTGAGAAATATAAGTAAAAGTCAAGGAGTGACTTTTTACCAGTAAGTTCAACATATTATTATCTTTAAAACACGCTTATAATAATAATACGCTATAATTTAATGATATTTTATCAACTGCAACGTATACGGGAATGTCAAAGAGTAAAACATTTTTATGCGCAGACTTAACACTATTAACGTATAATGTTAAGTAATTATGGACCGTAAATATTAATATATAATCACGGTAGGAAATGTTAATGCATTAAAATTAATAGTTTTTATTATTATTTGGATTTAAAGGTTTCCTGAATCAAAAAAGAAAAGAAAGAGAATCATGGATCTCTTAATACTGTAACGCTAGAATTTTTACAGGCTTCCCAGATAACTAGTATCTTTTTTTTCAGCCATCAAAATGTGGTGAACAAGAAGTATTAGAACCGTTGTCGGAATCAGTAAGCAGCTTAAATTCAATTTTTGATAGTCTGACAAAAATTGTACTCAAAAATAAATTACGCAAGCTGCAGCTAGAAAGAAAATTACTGAGAAATTTAAGAAAATACAAAGAGGAAATATTTATTTACAGAAAAATGTGATTCTTACGAATATAAAACTAAATAATATATTATAATATTAATGTATTAGTAACTTTTAAAATTTCATTAAAATATAATTCTGACATAATATTATGTAATATTATATTAAATTAGCACATATGCAAAATAAATATTGTTCACGATTCGTATGTAAAACAAATCAATATAAAGTGTTGTAATTTTATTTGTGAACAATAGATGTCGCTAGTAGCAGATTATCACGCGATATGGTTCTGTGTTTATTAATAGCATAAGGTATCTTGTGTGCTTTATAAAGAAGTGAACGATATTGGAAGAAAGTAATACATATACTTAATCAAGATATCTGTTGGTTTTATTTAAAAGTACCAATAGGTATTTAGCCCGCTACGTACGATCGTATTCATGGTTCATGGTCCATCGTAAGCCGGAAGGAACTGTCAAAGACAGATTTTTGTAATCGGTGATTCCGGATTGGAATCACACCCCCGCACCCAGAAGTAGCGGATCGTTACTTATAAGGTGTGGCGGTTCTGGCTCATAGAAGTCAGGAAGAAGCAGTCGTCACGGTGGGCGGTAGTCGTTCACTGACAGACGGCAGGCGGTGTTCCAGAGGAAATCGTCAGGAGAGGTGCGTGGGGAGGCGGAAAGGTGAAGTTGCAGTGAGTGAAGTGATTAAGTGTTGTTAACATAGGAAGCAAGAGTGAGTGGGACAACTAATCGTGAGTACAATTTCGGTAATTTAAACCTTATGTGCAATTGAAAAACAGTTCATTTAGTGGTAATAGTAGATTAAAAATAGTAGACATAGCAATTTGAATCTTAGATACTTTAGCAAAATAACTTGTAAAATTTAGTTAGTAGTTTTGACTTAGAGTAATTTTAAGAAATTTGGTTCATACGAGGAATCTATGTCCGATTTCATTTCAAGTCAAAAACACTTAAAATATTTATAAACTTATTCATAAGACTTAGAAAATTTTGTGATCTTCTAACGACACTTGTAAATTTTTCAAAGTTCATTGTATGGACTTGTAAATTTTAAGAGTTTATTTTGCCTTAAACATAACTTTATATAGTTTTTCATCATTAAAATATTTATTTTATTTTAAAAATCTAAATCAATTTAAGAAAATGCAGGCTTTATTTAAAGTACAACAAGATGTTGAAGTTAGAATAAGAAATGCTAAAATGAATTATAGTAAATCACCTAAAGATCGTATTAATCAACAGTATATTGAAGCTAGATTAGGAATATTAGAAGAATTATGGTCGAAGTTTTTAACAACTCATGATTGCTTAATAAAAGGTACAAAAAGGGATGATTTAAAGGATATTGAATATGATGATTTATATGATAAAGTTGAAGAGTGTTATGTAGAATACAAATGTAAATTAACAACTGATTTAGCTAAATATAAAGTTGAGAAAAATGATCAAAATAGTTCTAAAAATAATGAAGCTGAGTCAAAAGGCTCGTTGGTTAAGTTACCAAAAATTACTATTAATCCGTTTTCGGGAAAGTATACTGAGTGGCCCACCTTTAGGGATTTATTCACATCTTTAGTGCATAATAATACATCCTTTGATGATGTACATAAACTTAAGTATTTAAAGGGTTTTTTAACAGGTGAAGCCGAACAATTAGTCAGGCATATACCTATTACTGAATTAAACTACAGTCAGTGTTGGATATTATTACAAAAAAGGTATGATAACAAAAAATACCTAACAAATTGTACTTTAAAACGTTTATTTAACCAAAGGCGTATGAATGTAGAATCTGCCAATGGGTTAAAGGACCTATTGGACACAACGTCTGATTGTCTAAATGCGTTGAGAAATCTCAACATTAATGTGGCCACCTGGGATATTATTATTATATACATACTTACAGATAAATTAGATCTTGAAACCCGTAAGCAGTGGGAGTTAAATATATCGAGTGACAGTTCCACAGAATTACCTACCTATGAACAATTTTCGAATTTTATAGAGGGTCGATTTAGGGCGTTGGAATGTTTAGACAATAAAAAACCTACCTTTCAACACCATCGCTCATCACACGCTCAACATTCACACTCACACACTCATCATGCAAACATTCTGTCATCAAAAAATATTCAATGTGAATATTGTACAGAAAACCATAAACTATGTTTTTGTAAGAAGTTCGCAAAGGAGGAATATAATAAAAGACATGAATTTGTTTTAAATAATAATTTATGTCTCAATTGTTTAGGGCGTAATCACTCTGCAAAATATTGTAGAATAGATGTTTCTTGTCGTATTTGTAAAAAGCGGCATCACTCACTTCTCCACCCTAAATTTACACCAGTCGTACACAGTGGGCAAACACACACGGCCGTTACTAAAAATGAAAAAAGTGTAACGGCTAGTAGTTCAACTGAAACAACGCCAATCGTATCCTGCCTTTCGACAGGAAAGATCATTAGACAGGTTTTGCTAGCAACAGCTCTAGTGAAAGCTAAGTCTAAATTTGGCGATTTCAAAATTATTAGAGCCTTACTCGATCAGGGCTCACAAGCATCGTTCGTTACTGAAAACACAGTTCAATTATTAAAGTTGAAAAAGATACCGGTGAAGGGAGTTATTACAGGACTAGGCGGTAATCAGTCTTCGGTAGTGTCGAAGTACATGGTTTACATTAAAATTCAATCACTGTCTGATCCCAGTTTTCACCTTGAAGTGAAAGCTTATGTTTTAAATAATATTACTACTTACTTACCTGGTAAAAAGGTTGCCTGTTTACCTTGGGCTGAAATACAAAATGTTCAGTTGGCAGACCCAGAATATTATTTACCGAATAAAATTGACATTCTGCTTGGTGCAGACATTTACTGCCAGATTTTGAAGGAAGGAGTAATGAGGAGTCCTACTGGAACTCCTATTGCACAATGCACTACCTTAGGGTGGATCATTTCTGGTCTTGTAATGTCTGAAGATTGCAACAACTCACCAGCCGTTACAGTATTGCACTCTCAGATCAAAGAAGACGAAATTCTTAAAAAGTTCTGGGAAATAGAATCAGATCAATCAGGTTTATCTAGAAGGATACTTACCGAGGAAGAGCTGAAATGTGAGGAGATTTTTGCAGCGACG